CCATGACCAACACACACACACACACACACACACACACACACACACACACACACACACACACACACACCCCCTCAGGAATAGCACCCAGGCCCTCAGTGATAGTGCCCAAGCCCCCTGTTCAAGACCCATGACCAACACACACACACACACACACACACACACACACCCCTCAGGGATAGCACCCAGGCCCTGAGTTCAAATCCCAGGACCAGCACAAAAGAAAAAAAAATTCAGGCAGGTACATAGAGCTACCAAAGCAAATGAGTTCATTCATGAATCACTATTCCTGTGACACTAATTTTGAAAGGACTTGTACACACAGGGAATGTAACTGGTTGAGCTACTCCTCCTACCAATGTGCACAAACACCAGAGACACTCAATGTGCCCAAACCATGACCCAGCTGGAAACAAAACAACAGCAACGTAAGCCGCAGGGGTTCCGGAGGCACTGGCAGGCATTTTCATTGCCTGGAGTTTAAAAGAAGCACTGACAGAGGCAAAGACAGGGTTACTCCTGACCTTTTATTACAATTATGTAGGAATGTCTTTACTTCCTCTTCTTGAAGAACCATCTTTTTAAAAAATAATTCTCCTTTTATTATCACACATTTGTCGTATAGGGGGGATTTCACTGTGCCATGTCTCTTAAGGAAGCGTCTTTCTGAAGGGGAGTTGTAAAGTGTAGTTGTAAAGTGATGAAATACATACAGTACACATCTTATAGATATATATAAAATGGTTATATCTCTACATCTGATATACATTTAATTTATATATATATTACAAATACAAATTTATATTCTATAGATATAAATCCATATACTTAACATTTTACTATGCCTGTTTATATATGTATCTTTCATAATGTATATGAATATATTTTATAAATATGCTATGAGATAATACATTTCTATATTACAAACACTTAATATATAGTTAACTAATTTTATAGTATATAATAAATTTATTTTAATTTTATAAAAAATTCAGAGTGTATATGTGTGTGTATACACACGTACACACACACACACACAAAATGGCTCTCATATTAATAACAAACTTCACCTTGGCACAGAATAAGTTGTATTTTGTTGTTTTTTTAAAGACTCTGCTGTCTTGGGAGACAGCTGTGGGGAATGTAACCACGTGTGTTCTCCTGTGATACCCCTGATTGATCCAGGGTCTATTTCCTTCTAAATGGTTATCTGAATGAGAAGTCCGAATAGGTTTTTGCTGGCAAACCCCTTCTTCAGTTCACCTATTTCCTCCAAGGGGTTGAAATGGATAGGCTACAAGAACCTATTGTGGTCATTCCATTTACAATGTGTCTTACAAAGATAAGAACTATGAAAAATGGCTAACATTTGAAATCAAAGGGCAGCAATAATAAGTAATAACTTCCTGGGAAGTGGGGAAGTGCACAGCTCAAGTAGTACTGGAGCTTATTAGAGGTGAATTTTAGCAAAAATAGCTTCATTTCCTATTTCTTGGATAAGTATCTAGTCTAGTAGATTAGAAACATACAGAACTGTACAGCGATCTAGTATTAAAGCAGCTGAAAAAATATTACATGACAGTCTTGAGAAATGTACAGAGGACTACAAATAGGTTTATCAAGTACTGGGTTTATGATATCCTGAAGGTCATTGGTTGTAGACAGCTTCTATGAATGACTTTGATGAACTAGACCAAAACAAAAATCCAAACTTCCAGTGAATATACATAATTTTGTTTCTTGGTTTTGGTGCTGGGGGCTGAACCTAGGGCCTCACACATGCCCAAGTGAACTACATCCTCAGTCCATAAAACTTCTTTCACACTCTCAGTTCAGGGAACAAATTAAATAAATTGTTACAAAAAAAAAAAAAACAAAAAAAAACATCAATTTGAAGACACCAAAGACTTGGTAAGGTTGTACTTAGGATAATGATCAAGAAATGAGGGGAAGTTGAGAGTCATGATGTAAATGCAGCACAGGTTTTTTGTTGTTTGTGGTTTTTTTTTTTTTTTTTTGATCAGTCATGGGGCTTGAACTCTGGGCCTAGGCATTGTCCCTCAGCTCTTCAGCTTAAGGCGAGTGCTCTACCACTTGAGCCACAGTGCCACTTCCAGTTTTCAGGTAGTTTATTGAAGAGAAGAGTCTCACAGACTTTCCTGTGATCCTTAGATCTCAGCCTCTTGAGTAGCTAAGATAACAGGTGTGAGCCACCAGTGTCTGGCCAGCACAGGTTTTTCTTTTGAAGGACATACCTATGCAAGGATGCCTTGTCTCTTGGAAAGTTAGAAAAAGATGTTGACTAAGACCCTGAGATACAGAGAAAAGTTCCACAGAGCTAAGGGAGAGATCAGGAGCTCAGTATCAATCAAGCAGCCAGGAAACCTGATAAGTATCCCAAGAGTCCAGTGTGATTTTGAAGGCTTTGGGAAAGCAGGAAATAGACTAAAGCCTCAGAAAAGGGCTGAAGCCCAGATTTCAGTCAGTTCCAACCCAGATTGAATTAAAATGATCTGTCCTTGGACCAACTGCCAGCAAGAAGAAAAAGTAAACACTCTGGAAGACAGAAAGATCATTCAAAGCCTCACATTGTCTATACACTTTTTATACATTCCATATGAATCTTAATTAAAAAAAAAAAAAAAAAGTAAGCAGGCTAGGTGCTGGTGGCTCATGCCTATAATCCTAGCTGCTTAGGAGGCTGAGATCTGATGATCATGGTTCAAAGCCAGATTGCCCAGGAAAGTCCATGAGACTCTTATCTCCAATAAACCACCAGAAAACCAGAAGTGGTGCTGTGGCTCAAGTGGTAGAATGCTCACCTTGAGCTGACAGTGCCCAGGCCCAGAGTTCAAGTTCTACAACTAGCCAAAAAAAAAAGTAAGCAATGGTAAGATTCAAGAACTCACACAAAAAAACCAACAGGATGGGGCTAGGAAGGTGGCTCAGTGGTAGAGCGCTTGCCTTGCATGCATGAGGCCCTGGGTTCAATTCCTCAGCACCACATAAGCAAAAAAGAAAAAAGCTGGAAGTGGCGCTGTGGCTCAAGTTGTAGAGTGCTTGCCTTGAGCTGAAGAGCTGAGGGACAGCACCCAGACCCAGAGTTCAGGCCCCACGACCGGATCCAAAAAAAAAAAAAACCCAACAGGACAGAAAACAACAAGTCTACAGAATCCAAATACTGGAAATCTAAATACCATATTAATCAAGTCTAAATACTATATTAATCAAAATATGGAATTTAAAAGTAACAAGGTGCCAGTAGCTCATACTACATAGCAGACTGAGATCTGGTTCAAAGCCAGCCTGGGCAGAAAAGTCTGTGAGATTCTTATCTCCAGTTAATCATCAAAGAGCTAGAAGCAGAAACTGTGGTTCAAGTATTAGAGCACTAGCCTTCAGCAAAAAAAGCTCAACGACAATGCCCAGACCCAAACCTCAGGACCAGCACAAAAACAAACAAAAATCTATGGTGATTTTGGTCAAAATGTACAAATCTGTGGCCAGAATTTGTACAATATCTAGAAACTAAAAATAATGAAATAAAATGTTTAAACTGGGGCTAGGTAGGTGGCTCAGTGGTAGAGTGCTTGCCTTGCATGCATGCATGAGGCCTTAGGTTCAATTCCTCAGCACCACATAAGCACTTAGAGCTCTAGCCTTGAACTGAAGAGCTCCCAGGCCCAGCATTCAGGCCCCAGGACCAAAAAAAAAAAAAAAAAGTTTAAACTGAAAAATATAAGCAAAATAGAAAAATTAAATTAAAATCAGTAATAAAAACAATAAAAATCTGTTTGAAAATTAAGCAGTATATTCATGAAAAAAATCAGAAGCTGGAGGCACAAATGATAGATTTCCAGCCTAGCAAGTGCTGCCAAAAAAAGAAAAGAGAAAAAAAATCATAAAAGAAAGAAAATATTTAGAATTGAATTATAATAAAACTCAAACCTTTCGAACAAAATACAAGTAAAAACCATGTATCTAAAATTTAGAGCCCTAGGTGCAGATACTAAGAAGTAAGAGGACTATAAATATTCAGCATATCCAGTGAGCCATATTAACTGTTAAATTCCATTTATTTATCAAAAACATGTATATACAGACACCAAAAGACAGTATAATAGATATATACATCAAGACGTTTTTAGTAATCAGAAAATGGAATCAATTCTAATCTATACTGATGGTAGAAGAGAGAATTTATGGTATGTACACCAAAGGAGAAATTTTGTGAATTCACATTCACAAAACTGAATGCGACTGAATCCTGAAATGTACTGAACAACGAAAAGCTCTCAAGAATACATATAGTAGCATTCCACTTTTACAGGGTTAATCTACAGTGTTCATGAGCCTGGTACTGCTTTTAGGGGGACAATGATAGTGAGTAATAAGAGGAAGAGAGCCAATGAGGCTACTCAGGGCAGGGTAATAATCTATTTTATGACTTTCGTATTGATTACATGACTTAATTTGCGTGATGAGCGGCCTGGCCTCTTAGACCCCAAACATCAAAGATAAACAAGCTCTGGCTTTAACAGCAGTTCAGTAAGAACGATTTAAAGCAAGAACCAGGAAACAATTTTATATGAGTGATTATGGAGAACTTAGTTTGCCTTAAAAAAGAATGACATAATCATGAAACTTGTAGGCACCTTATATATTGGGTTGTCTGACAAAAGAGCAATTTGGCTGAACTTAGAAGGATAAGCATTCAAGTAATGATGGAAACAATTGACATAATGGTGGGAAGTTTCTTACCAATAATGGAATACACTCTCTAAAACCAATCATGGAATTTACTCTATATGGGTAATAAAGGTGATTCCAAACACTGAACTAGTTCACACAAAGGGAGAAAAAACACCCAGCAGGATTAAATGGAGACATTTACTACAAAATGGAGATGACCACCAATGCCCCTTCTAGGGCCTTCAGTTCCTATGTCATGTTCAATGTAGAGCTACAATAAAAACAAGAAACAACAACAAAAAAAATCTTACCCTTAATCGTGTAGTAGAGATCTCAGCTTTTAAAATATCAGGATCATATTTAGTACTGGATGAAGATCCTGAGAATACTTTTGAAAAACAAAAGAAAAAGAATGATTATAAATTTCATCACTGGTTTTTGATCTAACATTTACTGACTCTAAGAGTAAAATTTCTGTTCATTTGTGGATACTTTCTTTTTATAATACCTTTATTATCATTCAGACATCCAAATTTAAAAGAAATCTTTAAATCCTTACAATTTTTTAACTCGGGAAAGAGGAACATCATAATTAATTCTTCCTGGGTTTGCTAGAGTATTCCTTAGAGAACTATATTATGTTGCAAGTTATCAGGGCTTTTCATTATCCATGAACTTATAACTTAAGTAGAATTTCTTCTGCAAACAAGGTCTCCCTGAGATTTCATATATAAAATGATGGTGAAATAAATAACTGTGTGGGTAGGGGTGGAACATGGAAACTTGGTTCTAATTCTAATGTTCCAGTTCCCTCCCACTAAAGATACTTTACAAGAGTAATCAAAAGGCCAGGTACCAATGGCACATGCCTGTAATCCTAGCCACTCAGGAGGCTGAGATCTGAGGATTGCTTTTAAAAGCCAGCCCAAGCAGAAAAGTCCCCATGAAACTCTTATCTCCAATTAACCATTCAAAAACCAGAAATGCCACTGTGGCTCAAGTGGTAAGAGAGCTAGCCTTGAGCACAAAAAGGCTCAGGGATAGTGCCCAGGTCCCGTGTTCAAGCCTCACAACTGGCAAAAAAAATTAAAAAAAAAAAAAAAAAAGTAATCAAAAGGACTGAATGACTTGCCTTGTTCTGAAAAATAAAGTTTTATTCATAAATGAATAAAAGGCACTTAGGTAGAGGATACCAAATGGTATGTATTATCCACAAATAAGGAGATTTCTATCTAGAATGGGGATGAGGGGTTTTACTGAGAAATCTGTAGAGTGCCCTTACCTCTCTTGGGTAGGGGAGTTCTTCCATGGGAATGAAAAGAGCTCAAAATTAAACTCTACAGAAGTTCAAGTGGCATTCTACCATCTACAATTCCATGTCCACCCCTCAAGTCTGAACAGCCATACCATACTTACAGCTCGTGCGAGAACTTGACTTTTCCTTATAGGCATCATTTAATCGTACATATTCATCTAGAGCCAAAGCCAGTCTTTGTTCTTTTACATGATACAGCTCCTTTTGTGTCCTAAGTGCATCTTGGGCCACTGAGAGATAGTCCTTGAGCATCTTCTCCTGCTCCCCTCGCCATTGTTTTCTTGGATCTTCTATCTGTGTGGTTTCTGAAAATATATTAGGTGGGGTATAGAATTGCATTAGGTTTGGGGATTATTTAAACTTGAAAAACTAGTTCGCTTGAATTTTTGTATCCTCTAAAAAATTTATTAGCATTTCTGGAGTGATCTCAAAAACATAATACAGCTTTTTATTTTACCTAATCTTCACCCCCCCCATTTTTAGGTCCTTGTCAACAATGCACTCTAACTGTAAATCCAGAGGCAGGCTCTTGGGATACCTACTTCACACATCCTCTACATAACATTTCTCCACACCTGCTCCACAGACCACCGCAGCCCTTTCACAGACACAATAATAATGGAAATAAAAGTAAATGTTTTGCAATCTTAGCAGAATTTTTATTCAATTATTGCCTGTTATTGAACCTAGTAATATTATGGTTTATATTTCCTATGTGTTTTCACTTTTCTAATTTTATTTGTGTGGGGGGAGGGGGGGTGTATGTGTGTGTGTGCCAATCCTGGGGCTTGAATTCAGAACCTGAGCAATGTCCCTGAGCTTTTGTGCCCAAGACTAGCGCTCTACCACTTGAGTCATAACTCTACTTCTGGGTTTTTTTTGTTGTTTTTGTTTTTTTTTTTTTTTTTGGGGGGGGGGTCCAGTCGTGGGGCCTGAACTCTGGGCCTGGGTGCTGTCCCTCAGCTCTTCAGCTCAAGCCTAGCGTTCTACCACTTTAGCCACAGCGCCACTTCCGGCTTTTTTCTTTTTGTTTATGTGGTGCTGAGGAATCGAACCTAGGGCCTCAGGCATGCAAGGCAAGCGCTCTACCACTGAGCCACCTTCCCAGCCCTACTTCTGGCTTTTTGATGGTTAATTGGAGATAAGAGTCTCACAGACTTTTTTTCTGGCTTTGAAACACAACTCTCAGATCTTAGCCTCCTGAGTAGTTAGGATTACAAGTGTGAACTACCAGCACTCTGCTTTCATTTTTCTAATTTTTGACTATATTTTACCAGAATATCGGTCCATAGTAGATGAGAAATTTAAAAACAAACAACCCTACTCCTAGTTTTAATATATGTCTGCACACTGTTTGTGAACTTTGTGTAGTTCAATCACACAGAGACCCTTTTACATAAAAATTCCCAGACTTATTAGAATTTCTGCAGCTGGAACCCAGGCTCCAGCAGGTTTCAAGTGACTCCAATGAACCAAGGCTCTGCACCAAAACTCATTCTATCTCCTCCACTCTCTCCCTAGGCAAGTATCAGACCCTCCTCTACTGGGGTCTACAGTAATTTTCTCTTGTTTTGTGAATTGAAAACTCATCCTTTTAGAGTAGAAGGCACCAAGCAAAAGAAAAGAAAAATGAAAACAGAAGGATACCAAGCACTTGAATCATTTTAGTTTATCTATTATAAAGTAAGTAGGTGCAACTTATATAAGTTTTACCTAAATAAAGTTAATGGTAAAGTATACTTTAAAGGTTCAGGCAGCTGCAATAAAGTGAACTGAGATGCAATGGGAACAGTTGTGACTTTAACTCAAGTAACATACTTTGCTACCATCAGCTTCTTAAAAAAGAACCATGGCTTCGAGTAAGGCCACATGGGATCCATTACTGCTTCTGATATCAGCTAGCCATGAAACCCTGGGAAGATTATTTTGTTTGAGTGAATCGAATGTAAAAGACAGAGTAGTTTTTCTGATTTAATCTTAGCATTTTGCTGGTGTGTTGTCCAAATACTCTCAGATCTTGCTTATAAGTCTGTACACCATTCCCTAGACGTCATCATTTTTCAATGTCAATACTTGGTGTGTCCTTAAAGGATCCTGGGAATAATCTTAGGTACTGAAGTGGCACACCTGTAGCCACTGGCCACTGCATGAGCTACCAAAAAAAAAAAAAAAACTCCCGGAAGACAAAGATAAAGATATAAACTATACTCCAGAGTACCTCCATCGTATGGAGCCTGAGACTTAAGAGAAACAAAATCTGTGTTTACATTTTCCCCTCACTGTCCTCATTTCCTTACTGGTTTATCCTGGGATTTCCTCTATAAATCATTTATGTTCTTGGCTTTCTGTCTGCTTTTGGAAGAACCCAAGCCAAGACAACCTATGCAAATTTGAATGAAATGTGTTCCTGGGTGGTATTTTTCTTTCCATGTGTGACATTTAATATGAGGAGTTAAGGAGACAGAAGACAAAGGGAGAAATACCCTTAAAAATAACAAAAAATGCTCTCTTTGCAGCGTGTTCGTGAAAGCAGAGTCCAAGTAGCGACCGCGAGAGTCATGGCTGGACAAGCATTTAGGAAGTTTCTTCCTCTGTTTGACTAAGTGTTGGTCAAAAGAAGTGCAGCTGAAACTGTAACCAAAGAAGGCATTATGCTTCCTGAAAAGTCTCAAGGAAAAGAATTGCAAGCCACAGTAATGGCCATGGGATTGGGCTCTAAAGGAAAGGGTGAAGAAATTCAGCCAGTTAGTGAGAAAGTGGGTGATAAGAGTTCTTCTCCCAGAATGTGGAGGCACCAAAGTAGTTCTAGATGACAAAGATTATTTATCATTCTTATTTAGGGATGGCGACATTCTTGGGAAGTGTACAGAGTAAATGCATCACTGAAAAGGCATCATGTAAAGCTGCCCATTCCATGGGAGTTCTGAGATCTTTCATCATGTACATAATTTCCTTATCTCCCATTTATAAGAAACTGGTGGTAACTAGAAAAAGAAAAAAGAACAAAAAGAAAATACATCTATCATTAATAGGCCATGTAACAGTAAGTTCTTATCAATTATTTTCTTGGATTCTGCTGAAGAATTGATCAAATATGCTGTTATCATTGTTATAAAACAAAAAGTTAAGAAATGAGATTATAGGTTAGGCATGGTGAGTATATCTGTAAGAGGCCAGACTGGGCAAAAAGTTAGCAAGCTGCTAAGCCGGGGATGGTGGTGAACAATTGTGATCCGGGCTATTCAGGAGGCACAGACAGGGGGACAGTAGTTTGTAACAAGGCTGAACAAGAAATATCATCAAGACCCTATCTTAAAATATATGCCACTTGATGTTGGTATCAGAAGGCTGAGACCTACAGGATTAGGCTTTGAAGCCTGCCCAGAGAGAAAACTCATCCTCATGTAACCAACAAAAGCCAAACTGGCTCAAGCAGAAAAGTGCCACTAGTAAGCAAGCAAGTCAAGTAAGAGCTCAAGGCCCTGAGTTCAAACCCTATGTCTGGCAAGAAGTAAACAAACAGAAATTCTGGCAGGGCACCTGTGGCTCATGCCTATAATACTAGCTTCTCAGGAGGCTGAGATCTGAGGATCAAGGTTCAGAGCCAGCCAGGGCAGGAAAATCTGTAAGATTCTTATCTCTAATTAAACACCAGAAAACCAGAAGTGGTGCTGTGGCTCAAGTGGTAGGGCACTTGCCATCAGCTGAAGAGCTCAGGGACAGCACCTAGGCCCAGAGTTCATACCCTATGACTGACCTCCCCCCCTCAAAAAAAAAATTCCAAGCTTGGCATGGTAATGCATGCCTATATTTCAGTTACTCTAGAGACAGAGCCCTGGAGGATTGCAAGTCAGAGGAGACCTGAAAAACAACTAAAACAAAAAGAACTGTGAGGTGGCTCAAGTGGTAGAAAATTTCCCTAGCAAATAGCAAATACAGCAGTCCTTCTCCTATGCCAGAAATGCAAGTCAAATTAAGACAACTCCTAAGGGCTTTGATAAAATCATTTTTGTGCTCCATTTATAAAAGCCGTCTAGATTTTAAGCACATGATGTCATGTCATCCCTGAATATACCACCACAGCCCACTGAGTTACTTTGAGATAAAGAGTACACATCATATGTCAGTCAGCCAAGTTCACTCAAGAAGGGAAGGAGTAGACAGGATTATGGAACCAACAGGAGGGTGCTCCAAACAGAATTTCCGCATTTATTTCAGGAAAAGGACATGGTAGGAGTGAGGTGTGGTAGGAGTCAGGGAGATGATACAGTGACATCATCGCTAGGATGGTGGGAAGGCTGAAGCTACCTGCAGTGTGAGAAACTAAGCAGAAAAGGTAAGACGATTCTTCCTTCCACTGAAAATACTGAGATGCGGATCATCTGAAGGCAGATGAATTGTGTGACTTCTGGAGAAATTCTAAGAACAAGGATGCTTTAAAAAAAAAAAAAAAAAAAGAATCCAGTCTAACTGGTTCAAATCCAGGCTTTTTACTTATAATTTGTATGACCCTGAGCACAGTCTCAGACCCCATGAAAGTTTCAAGTTCTTCCTCTGTAAAATAGGGTTACCTTCAAGGGTCTGTTCTGAGGTTTAAATGAGATGCTACAATAGAAAAAGGGCTCTGCTGGATGCCGGCAGCTCACACCTGTAATGCTAGCTACTCAGGAGGCTGAGATCTGAGGATCCCAGTTCAAAGCCAGGAAAGTCTGTGAGATTCTTATCTCCAATTAACCACCAGAAAAGCAGAAGTGGTGCTGTGGTTCAAGTGGTAGAGCACTAGCCTTGGGCTGAAGAGCTCAAGGACAGTGAGTGCCCAGGCCCAATTTGGGGAAGGGGAAAGGGAGTAACAAAATGCTGAAACAAGGACACAGGACCAATTGCAACACTGATACCCCCAAGACACTATATTGGAAATGAACTTTACAACTTTGTGGGAAGAGGGGGAGTAAGGTAGGTGAGGGTGGGAAGGGATAGTGGGAGAAAACAAAGGAGGGGGCAACAATGCTCAACAAGAAATGTACAAGAAATTACCTTACTCATGTAACTGTAAACCCTTTGTACAGCATCTTTACAATAAAGTAAAATTTTTAAAAAGGAAAGAAAAGAGGCTCTAATTTGAGCTACACACACACACACACACACACACATATATATATATACACATATGTGTGTGTGTGTATGTGTATATATATATATATATATATATATATATATATATATATATATATATATATATATATATGGTGCTGCTTCTGCTGTTTATTCTTCAAGAACAAAGAAGTTACACAGCCATATTCCTCCC